AGGTCCCGGCGAGACACGTTCAAACATTATGGGTTTCTACGGTCGCTTGAACCCCTTGGCCAAAGAAATGGTGTAGCTGTAATGACATGGAACAGCTTATGAGCTGACTGCTGTCTAGCTAATGGGAAACCACGTTGTGCAGTGTTCTTCCTGGGCATGAAACAATAAGGAATACTGATAGGCAGCATGCTATCCGGTATGTCAACTTGTGGATGCAGATACGTAGGTGGTGGCGTCGGCAATGTCTGCTATCCGAACATGTAAACACATGGTACCTAAGTGGCAGATGAGGTCAAGCGTACCAGAAAATCGTTGTTGGCGTTGAGGTTATCTACATGTTACATCATTCAAGAGAAACGAGCAAACTGTTGCATAGACAGGCAGGCATATGAAGTAACGGTAGTAATTACTGCGCATCGTGCTCTTTTAAGGCTCATCTCAAGCCCAGCCAACCAGGCACGGCCGGCTCCCGTATATCATGTCCAAGCAAAAGTGTGCTATCGGAAAATCATGGGTTGGATGCTAGGAATGAATAGCATTTGTGAAAGATGATGGTCAAATCAAGCTACTGAAGTTCTTCGCTGAAAGCAGCCTATGGTGAAAGTCTGTGACTTGAACAGCACTCGTAAACTATGGTTGTGGAGGGACTAAATTACGCTTTTATTTGTCCTGAAATGAAGTACCAACATTTTAACTGACACGCCTTTTGACGCTGTGAAATTGCATAGCATGTCCTCACTATTGTCAGAGAGATCGTCAAACAAACCAATCACAAAATGGTTGCGTCTTATGTCGTCGTCTTCTGTTACAACTTAAGACGCTTCATCGAATCATCCAACCCGCCCGATATCACCGTTCCAACTTGACGCGCCCTCCAATTGTCCGATATAGCAGCAACAGCACGCGGTACCGGCAGCGATCCGCTGTCATGAACTAACTGGGCCCCTCTTTATTCCTCACGCTTCGAAGCGAATTGCGACCTCGCGGCATGTCGGGTCATGGTGATAGAAAGTCTTTCTCGTAGGCTTGCACGACGCGGCGTTTTAATCGTTGCTCGTGGCGTGCAATGCACTTACTTGGTAACATATCAAGGACTTGACCAAACCATAGCCAGCAAGCTGTACCAGTCCTGATTTCACGGTCTGAGGATCTCACTGGTCTTTCGGAGGTCAAGTCAGAGCGATGGCCTCGCATGACCTCATGTGACGCTACGCGACTTAAGTTTCCATCCAGCAATGCAGACATGCTGGAAAGCGTAACCGTATGATATTAACTCCATGGCACGGGAAAGCTAGCCTCGGGTCATGTCAGGCTGCAAGGGTGCAGCATATAACAGGGATGTAGGTGGCGCTAGATGAGGTCCCGGGGTTCCCGTGGGCCATGCAAGACGAGGCCCCGGGGCCCAAGTTCAAGTGAGGTCAGTGGCCTAGGAAGTCATTTTTGATTAAACGTCTCTCTCCATGTCGGCGTTTGCGCTAACTCTGACCAGGAGCTTCATTTTTTCGTCATAACCATAATGCGTCATTCCGGCCACCCAAATCACTAGACCAAAGGCCTGTCCTGTACCGTGTGACCATTGACCCTTTGACCTGCCCCGGCAGGTTGTAGGTTGACCTGAGGTGGTCTAACGATGCGTTATTTTAAGCGCAAGTCACAGAGGAAGGCTAGATATCAATATCGTGGCTGTGTGATGCTTGTGTTTGGCGCGGTGACCAGAAAGGACAGATTTATTGTAATGCAACGTCAGTTTTGATTTCCGTTAGTTCGTTCATAAGCCAAGAAGCACAAAACCGGAATCCACTGGAGAGTTTATACGACAAGCAACGCGGTGGTCTTAAATGCGTTGTTCTATTAATAAAAGAAACAAAAGCCTTAAGCTCTTGGTTTTTTGGCAATGGAAGTTGAAAGTTCTTATGCTGTTAGCGACTTTGAACATGCCTAAAGGTACTAGCTAAATGATGTAGTGTTAGATCACGATTGTACTGACCTCACCCAATATTTTGAGCTGTGCTCGTCTTCCAGAGTAATAAGTTACTGGGTGGCACCTGCCCGGCCGCAGCCGCACCAGCATACATCGGTGGTTTCTTTTAAGGATGAGCGCAGCTCTAAATACTGAGTACCGTCAGTATAATCGTTATTTAGCATTGCAACGTCGTTTAACCAGCATCGCTGGCATAATGAAGGTTGTTATCTCAACACAGGAACTTTCAATTCATAATGCCGTTTTATTAAGTAGCTTTTTAAACGGCCTTGGCAATCCGTTCCTCTCCCGGAGGGCGGCATGGTCAGCAGACCTGCGTTCGTCTCGAGCTGAATCATCAGTTGACTCATGAGTCAATCATTTTGGGTAGAGTCGTGAGCTGAGTCGACTCCATATGAAAAATGTCACTTTGAGTCATGAACTGAATCACGTTGTTCTTAAAAATTAATGACCTGAATCGTGAGCTGACCATTTCGTACAATGCCGTGTCAGTGAGTCATATGGCTGAAATAAAAATGATAACATCAGGAAACGTAGCGCGCCCTAGACAAATTAAGATATCATTTCAGAACATCAGAATGAACAGCATGCAAGATCAGTTATCAAACATTTTGCATTTTAAGCACGGGTAGTTAGATTTTTGAGCAGCAAACACAGTATTTTATTCTGAACTAGTTTGCCCAGTCTCAGCAAGGAGTCAGATGATATAGCATAGCACAGACCTCCTACATTCCTTAATTCTATGCTGAAATCAGTGAACGATTATTTGTTGCCCATAAAATCCAAGGGCTGGCTATATTTTCCATCGTCAATTGTCAGAGCAATGAACTAATCAATACCTGACCTTTACTACTTCACCACTACTTGGACTGCTATGAGCATCCTTTTGATGATGCTGTGTGAAATCAACAGCAATAGTACCAACGTCGTCCCGTCTCATATGCGGATTGCATGCTGTGGAATGTGACGCCCGACGATTCCACCAGTAGCTATTTCCAACTTCAACTACACTACAACTCCAACGCAGCTTGCGAGTGGCAATGTGGTCTACAAATTGAGTAGTCTTGGAATGCGGGTAAGTGGCGCTTAGCAGCCTAACCCCTATGCAGCTCGGAAACCTGTTTTCACTCCTAACCCATCATAGAATGTCATGGTGAGGTGAGTTTAAGGTGTCCGGGTGGAAACGGTAGTCGGCGCCGCGTTAGCTTATCTTGAGTTCAATTGTTCAGAGTTCAGTTCAGGTATTTTCCTTGCTGATTGCATACGTGGGTCGAGTGAAGTGGGTTTTTGCTGGGCTTGTTTGTGAGAAATGCAGTCGTGCTTTGTAGTACTTCTTAGGCTAAGGTAGGTAGGTGAGTTCATAGTATATTTGTAACTTGTCGCTAATCGCCATTGCAAGAACTGCAATCCGATATGTGTATATATGTATATATATATATATATATATATATATATATATATATATATATATATATATATATATATATAAACGAGCCAGAACTGGACCGTATCTTTGATTTCGCAAGCTGCATCATTCACGGGTCAAATGGTTCAATGCGAGCAATGAGTCTTAACTGAGAGGAATAAAAAAGATGAAACGGCTATGAGTCGTGAACTGAATTGGATCCGAAAGTTTTTGAGCCAGTCTTGAGCCGGCTTAAGAAAATTGAGTAGAATCCAAAAGTTTGGAGCCAGTCTTGAGCCAGCCAAGGCAAATCGAGTCGAATACAAGTCTGATGATCAGATGGTCCCGTTGGGTCGTGGCTGAAGGGTACGTGGCATATTGGTATTAAATACACATCGTAGGCAGTGCACAAAGCCGGTAATGTGGGCACAACATTTGCCTCTTGTGCACGCTGCACAAAGTTTGCATGGTGCTGTAAGCTAACAACGGTTATATACACTTGGTGAGATATTTTCCACACTACATACTCTGAAACTTGGCGTGGGTAATGCGCGTCTTTCTTACATAATGTTCGTGACAGATTCTGACACCAGACCATAAGTTAGATCCTTAGACCTGTGAATCGATAGGAATTCATCTAGATGGCGCCTACCTACCTACCGCCTGGGTAGGTTGCCACCGTCGCAAGTTGCCTGGCTGACTCTACCTCACCTCATCGATATGGCAGACACACAGCCTGTACAGATTAACTTTGAAATGCGAGATTGTGTGACCGCATTTGCTGATGATATTGATTTGTCACCAATTGTAAGTCGTGACGCTGCAGACAACGTCGGTAAATGACAGGCAAATTTCGTTCCTTTTTAGTGTATGCAATTACTTATCTAATTACACAAACGCGTACTGTTGTGACTGCGGGCCGTGGAACCATGTTTTTGGCTATTTTCCTTCGAAGTTTTTGTCTTGGCTGTATTTTGTCGTGCATGAAGTCTGAAATATTTTTGAAGTTGCAGGCTCGTCACGTTGATGCATCAGCCAGTTTTTTTCAAAACATTTAAATGTGACGCAAATGTAACGCCAACCCTGAGGTGGACGCCGAATCTCGCACACTCTGCCGTGTGCACAGTATGCGAGCATGGCCATACTCTACGGATGTGATCAGCATACCCTAGAATAGAGGATGCATTGCAATATTCTGCCGTATACAAGTGGCGACCGAAAAACATTGGCCGTGTACTGGAGGTAGGGAACCTTAGTAGAGTTTCCGAAACTCTGTAACTCAATGCCCTATCCAAAATTGGCGTTCAACGAGCCCATTTTCCATCCTAAAAGACTCCAAACCCTTCTGAAAAGAGCTACGGGCGCCAGTAAATCGCCACCCTCGCCCGATCGCAAAGCGCCCCGCCATGCATACGTCACCCACCGAACAGCTGAGAAGCAGCGGCGACGACAGCGTATCTGGAGGTCGCCGCTCAGTCCTGGGCGGGGCCAGCACTATCGAGGCGTCTGATTGGTCGCTCGCGGCCGTGACGTCACCGGAGCGCTCGCAGGCCTGGCTGCCGTGAGACGCCGGAGTGATGAGAAGGCTCGACGCAGTGTCAAGCATTGCGGCGGTGTGGAGAACGACGCGTGCGCGTGGTGTCGGTGTGTCGAAGAGCGTGACCTGTAACCTGAGGTCGCCGCAGTGACATGACGTCGGTGCCAGCACTCGGGTCGGCCTCGGTCATAGTGCGCGGCCACAGCGCGGCCAGTGCCCATAATGTCATCACCTCGTCTCAGCAGCCCACCTCGACGGTCGGTGAGTGACGTCACCAGACCGGAAGCGCCGGCCAGGGGCGTTCGGCTGCTGTTAACCCTGCCTAGCGTCGGACCATGACCGCGCAGAGGCGGGCTCCATAAGACTCACTGGTGAAGAATGCGAGATATCATGCAAACGTGGAGATATGGCTACTATCTACTAGCTTTCAATAACCTCTCGCTGCGATTTAGGCTTCAGATCTGGGGGGAGGGGGGGGGGGGGTCAGGCAATTATCGAAAGCAAGGCGCAGTCACGGAGACACCATTGCCCATCTATACAACTCCCTCTTCTTCAGACAGGGACCTTCAAACAAAACTGTAGACGCGCACATCCAGCTTCACAGAAAGCATGTTCGTTCAGCTCCGTATCCGCGCGAGCTGATGTTTGCGCAGGGATGCTGGTCCGGATCTGGGGGGGGGGGGACTCCCCGACGTGCGGGTGGAGGGGGGGGGGGGGCAACACGCCTACCTCGGCATCGAGGCGATGTGGTGACGCTGGGTCGGGCTCAGCAGAAGGCGCGCCACGGCCGGCGTGTCGGGAAATGAAAAAAAAACACGTGCGTCATTAACACCAGCTACGCACTACTCAACTACGAATACATTTGTGCTGTAATCTCTGTATACTAAAGTCACCACAGGCGTGATGAGAAACAACACGTCAAAATCTGCGAGGCACTTGACTTGAATGGTTTTTTGTACTTGGAAAGACGAGAAAAATGTGCATGTTGCCATCGATATTTGACGGACTCTTTGATAAATCCCGATAGTCTAACCGTTGTGACCAGAATCGGTGGATTCTGAAAAAACGGGGGACATGGCTTCCCTATGGCTACACTCGAGCTCATGAGAGCACCTGGCTTAGTGACAGACTGTTGGAGCGGTGTCTTACCGCCCCCCCCCCCCCCCCCCCACCCCACCCACGCACCCTTTCCTCACCCCTGCCACTTGATCACAGGTCACTTGTTCCCCCCGCCAAATAATTTGTAATAGGTAGTTAGCTGCTTGGCAAGCCAGCGTCATCTCATGGCAATTCTGCTGCTGGCTTGATGGCTCCTCCAGCCTCCTTTCCAAAAAGGAATCCTGGTCACGCTTCTGTAAGGTCACACGGGAAAAGCATTTTTATCTCTCAGATGCTGAAAACGTTACCTCACTACTGTCTGCTTTGATTTCGGGGCATGACCCCTTTTCAGCGTGAAACTCTTTGTCGCGACTTCTTGACAACTTGAAACACCGTAAACTTTCCAAAACATCAAAAATGGGCCACTGAAGCGTCAAAATAGGATCCCGAAACCGAAAATGTCCTCCGAAAAAAACAGGGCTCCTGCAGCGATAAGGAAAGGCTCCTGGGCTGAAATGGCCACCTGTGACCCGGTTTGGCCAGGTCCTTGGCGAATTCCTGGATACCCCACGGATTCGGAAGTACTGACAGCAGTAGGCAATTGCCTGATGATATTTTACTTTGAAAAAGTCCTGTTAAATCGGACACAAAAAGACACTTTCTTCACGTGCGATAGCGCAGGTCACTAGAGTCGACCTGGTTGGAGGGAAGTGGTGGTGATAAAAGTAATGATAATGGTGGTGATAATGGCTGGCATCTCAGCACGGCTGCTGCCACTAACCGAAAGCCTGTGCTGCACAAAGTAAGGACCTGTCTACGCCGGTCATTTTTGTCCGTTTTCTGCGTCCGAGCCGAGTCTGCAGTCAGTCACCTGATGCAGGCTCGGCATCTAGCTATGACTCTGTGACTCTGTGACTCTGTGCAAAGTTACGTGACGTTACCACACAGAAGCTGCCGCAGCACACCACTGCGGTCAACCATTGTAGCAGACGTTGACCGGAAGAGGTCAGCCCACAGAAATCTCCGTTGCAAACGACTTTTTTAAATTCGGGTCACCTGTATGGGGCAACGCGAAGTCGGATCACAACATGACAAAACAGCCGAAGTAGGATGACATCATGTGTGCTGTGTTCAGGCCTCTAGCGACAACGTTTTAACTCTCTTCCCTCACGTGAGGACACAGGTAATTGATAAGCTCATTCCTGTGTGCGTTTCGCTGCCTAGTACGAACGACGGCGTCTGCATCGACCCCGTCCGCGCTCAGTCCGCTGCTGCAAATAGTACGAGGAACAGCCGCAAACAGTGCGAGTGGCATGTGCATGAAAACAGTGACGTCACACCTCATCCGGCAGTCTGCAACAGCTGATATGCTGCATGTCCTGTCGCAGAAAAGGGGTTTAAACTCATCAGTGAGGGTGAGGCTTGGGCCGAGATGCCTGCATGGCCTCAGGCCGCCGTAATCTCGACGGTGGGCGTGTCCGAGGGTGGCGCGTGAGCTCGACGCAGCGGACCCCCCCCCCCCCCCCCTTCTCTTGCAAGTCCAGCCGATAACCTTGCTCCACGGTCTCTATATACAATGGCCTTTGTTGCCAAATTTTGATCACCGTTTTCGAAAAACTCAAACAAACGTTGTTGTCACTGGTCTTTAAAAAAAATTGTATGCGAACGCGCCAAAACTTCAGACATGATTTCAAATGGCCACATGGCAAGAGGTCTGAGACCAACAGTACACGGTACAACGGGGCACGGTATTCGTCCCCCTCCCCCCTCTTGGCATGCGATGCTGAGTACGCCGCTGGGCCCCCGGCGGTAGACATCGGTCGTATTCGCACGAAAACACGCAGGCTGTTTACTTATCGTTCAAGGCGGCTGATCCTCAAGTGCTTGCTTTTTTTGTTGCCCACTCGATGGTTGAGCTACGTAAAACTCTGCGAAGATGGCAGGCCGATGCCATCATCGGGAAGTAGCTGTGCACAATGTGCCGACAAAGGATGCTTGCAACACAAGCCCACTGATCAACACTCTTGATACATCATGGGTCCGCAAGAGTTTGAAAGGTGCCCGAACAAACGGACATGACCAAGAAACGTGGCTTTCTGACTTGCATGGGGTCGTGGCTTTAATGTGAAAAGATATCGGAATTCCGGGTGGCGCTCTATCTGATCTTGTAGTGGCTCTCTATCCAACTGGGTGGAGCCGAAAATAGACATGGTCCTCCTTCAGCTACATCCTGGGCCATCTCTGTTTAGCAGTCATTGTAGTAGGCCGCGATGGTCAATGAATCCTTTCGCATTAATTCTGCTGTTCCGTTGTAGTCAATAGCGTCATTTTGGTCAGCGAGGAGTCTTAGCTTCTAGAGTTCTTCTTCTTAATTGTAGCGGGGCGGTGGATGACAGCCAACCACGTAGCAGCAAGAACTCTAAATTCGTATGGGAAGAGAGCCAAAACGGTCTCAGGACATCAGACCAATGAGACATGGAATTGCGCGAAGGGGCGCCGCACAATTACAGCTTTGTTCAGTGACTGGCCCGGAATTTCGTCAAGGGGGAACATTGTGACTCCCCCCCCCCCCCGTGAAGTTTGGATCCTCTCAAAAAAATTATCGGATTTCGGCCATTCAGGTTTAAGATTCATATGTTTGTCATATTTATATGGGGGCACATCTATTGTGCACATCCCTAGACAACCAGAGTCCCAGACCAATGTGAGGTCCCTGAGCATCTAGAGCCTCGGTAGGTTAACACATGTCGTTCCAGAAACAGCAAAGGGCCGTCCGAGCAAATGGAAAGAACCCGAAACTAATGTCAAGGGCCCTGAGCAGCCTAGAGAACGCCGGCAGGTTAACATATGGTGCCGCCGTCCATAGCGTAGGGCCTCTCTGAGAATGGAAAGAATATAGAGTGCCCTGGACCGATCAAGAATGCCCGGCAGGTTAGCATACGGGGCCCGGCAACAGAGTAGGACTCTCCGAGCAAATGGACAGGAACCAAGGATAACGTGGAAGGCTCCTTAGCGATCGTAGTGTCCTGGCAAGCGGACATGAAAGATCCCCGGCAACGGCATAGTAGCCATGGACTGCGTAATAAGCCCTACCCCCCCCCCCCCCCCCACCCACCAATCAGCGAAGAGATTTATGGTCTGCTTGCGGCCCCCCGTGGACGCCTGCAGGCCTTAACACGTCCGATTTGGTCGCGTTTTGTGTTGAAAAACATAGCATCTGTTCGGCTGGTCTTGTGCCACTTCGGAGTTTGTAGGTCTCCAAGTGAGGGGGGTTGGACATGGTCCCGTGCCCCCCCCCCCCCCCTCCCCGCCCGCTCCAGATCCGTCATTGGATGTGTTTCTGCCTATTGGACTTACGTGACTGGCCCATCCTGATGGCATAAAGGCTGAGCGTTTGTGTCATCAACCTTATTGTTCAGTTTACATCAAAAGAGATCGATGTCATGAGAGTTTGTTTGCTCTTCACAGTGGTTTCTCACGTCTGTTGTTTCATGCGCGCGCCTCCTCCTAGCACTAATCAACCAGCATTTGACCTTACATATCCTGACCCACATTGGCGGCAACCATTCCTATTATTATATAATTACCATACTATATAAATACATATTATATAAATACCATAACCATAATTAGCCGTTACGTTTCTGAGCGGTGTTGAATGCCCCAGGTCCAGTGGGACACCCGGACACGACACGGCGGCTTGCCAGACAAGCAACCATAAACACGCAGACTGTGCAAACCACGAACATCTGGACAGCTGTAACCAGTCGGCGAACAATGAACACGGCGTTCGCAATGAAAGCCCTCCTAACTCGGCACACACGGATATCGGTTAATCCCGCGATAAACGAGTTCAGGGGACTGATTATACTCGTGGCTGCAGACGTCGAGCGAGTCCTACTTGGGCGATGAGAACCCTGTCAGCTTGAGATGCCCGGCCCGGCCGGGCGGCAAGCATTCTTAAAGCTCATATCTTTGCAACCACTGGTCGCAGCCTAAAGCAGATTTCAGCAACAAAACACTCAAGTGCTTTGGCTCATATACCGCACGAATTGTTAAGTTTGCAAGCTGTTGTAACAGACACGTTTTCCTGCAACATTGCAACATCACTGCAATGTCACCTCCCCCATTCGATAAACAGAAAACGCAAAATTTTTTAAAATGTAAGAGGATGAGGACCAAGGAACAGAACCAGGTTCACATCACGACGTGGCGAGGCAGCGATACGAGACTAACAGAACCTGAAGGATGCGAAAAGTGAACACTAAACTTGGTAATGGGTCGTGTCAAGAACCTACTATGCGCTCGTGACCGCATCCCATGTATCCAACCGTTTAGAGGGAATGTTTCTTATTTGGAGATATTGAGGTAAGCATCAAATATGATGAAGCAACGTCACTTATAACTACTGGTATGCTTTTTGAATGGAAAAGATTGATCTAGATAGCATAATTCTCTGTTTAGTAAATTTGCTCCTCAATGCGTCATCGCTAGATTGCGTCACCGTACCTGAATGAGATCTAGTTGACGGCTGTTATATCAGGAAATCGCGCATGCGAACCCCAGATGTAAACTTATCGGCAATTCGATTTTTGTTGGCCTTGATCGCATCATGGCTCATGGAATAGCGGGATTTGAATGACGTTACTAAGACGTCATGAATGCCGAGATGACTTTGAAATACTTTCCCCGATATACCTTTTCCCATCTTCGCGGGCGTGTAACCCAGAAGCTAGAGGGGCTTAGAACTTAAGAAAAACAGGATTGTGGACAGCTCCAAAAGCTCTTCAAGATAGCTATTTCAGTTCAAAACCCCATATAAATGTGGAATACTCCCTTAAAGGGCGTTGTTAATGGTTGGTGCCAGATCCCAGCAAGCGAAGCAGACGAAAGCCTAAGACCAGCTGCACAGTTCGACGCACGTGCCGTCTATAACTCAATCATGGGCGTCCAACTGTCTGGCGCTCAGGTGCGCCAGCAGTCGGCGGGACAGAAGACGATGCGACCCTCTCCGAAGCCGATCTCGAACGCCGGACGTTATCGTGTGACCCGAGGAAGGTCATGTCATACAAACTACGCAGATGTGTATTCTTGCCCATTGCCACGTTTGAGTATATAGTTGCACGACGTTGAAATTGTTTTAAAGGCAGCTACAATGGACCAGGTTAAAGTTGTTATTGGAATTGGCGTTAACGGGTGAGCTGCCGTTTATAGCTATTATTGTTACCCCATTCCATCTAACCCAGACGGTGCTTACTATCTCACACGGCGTAACTAGCTACCCGCCTTATTTTGAAACACAGGGGTGGTCACTATTGTCAGCCCTCCGCTTTTGCCTGGGGCAGTGGTCCGTACGAACGCTATGAAATCTCCTGACCTTCATCTGCCTCGAACTGTGATAAACAAACGTACGCGTTTAGCCTAAAATAGCCCGGCGGTTTGGGTGGTGATCGAGAGCGATATAACCTCAGATAACAGCCACTCAGCAGCCAAGACAGAAGTATGTCCTCTGGAAAAACGCTGGATAGGGGAGGTTTTGTTTCGGGATTCATGTGGAGGCATCACATGAACCCCGCCTAGCACGGCTTGTGTGACTGACAACCGGCACAACCTTCAGGATGGAAATGCATAACCCGTCGGCTGCAATGTTGTTATCCGTGTCATCCCCAAGCATTTAGCCGCCAAAGCGTTCATGGACCTGGGAATGCAGCGACATGTGACTGAATCCCTACACTTACACAGATGCACACGCACCATAAGACGTGTTCGCCAGCCTGATGGATTGACGGCCCACGTGGTCCAGGACACATTCCTGCCGGCGGCGGCGCCCCGCCAGTGAGGGTATATACAGTTGAGATACGATGGTCTTCACCTCCACGCCACTGGTGGCGCACAAGGGTATCCATTCTGTGCATCGGCAGTGGCTTCATATCCACAACGTTGCTCACGACTGGTTGGATACCTACGTAATGACAAGTCATGCGGCGACATATTTTTCCACTCACGGACGTCGGGACATATCAGCCCCCGTTCGTAGCAAAAGGCGACTTCGAAACAGCGCTCGAACGGCTTGTAATGCCCACCTGCCGCGCGCAGCACCCCTGAGCGGTGCACCTGCCCTGCACCCTCGCGCCGCCCACTTCGTCAGATGCTGCACCACTCAACGAGATACGCCGGGCCCCCCGGTCCCGCCCGTGCCCCGTATATCGCGGCTCGGAAGCCGCCGGCGCCGCTATCTGGCAGGCCGCGCTCGCCGCCGACAAGGTCACTGGTCACGTGACGGTCGTGTTTGAACAGGTCGCCAGAGGCCGCCGGTGTGTACTCAGCAGGCCACGGCGGGCCGCGGCGCGCCAGCCACCGGCCACGCGGTCCTGGGCCGAGCCTGCGGGTGGTCGTCCTCACACGCCCGGGGGCTGGTCTCTGTCCGGACCCGTGATCCGGTCTGGGGCGCGTGGCGCAAGGCGCGTGCGTGACCTCGCGGCGCGCTCGGATGGAGGCAGGCTGCGCAGGCCCACCTCGTCTGACGCTTGGTATGGTCACTCCGGCTCTTTTTGGTTTGGCTCTTCCGCCTCGGAACAACCATCTCGGAGTTATGAGATCAAGGAGCGAGATAAGAGCCACGCCGGGCTGTCGCAAACCACGAGGCGTGGCTCGCGGAACCCCGCCGCCGTGTGCTCTGGGGCTGCAGCTGCTCGAGCGGGTGAGACCAGTTGACTCATGACTGACAGCTGGCTCACACCCCCGGCGAGGCGAGGCTCTGCGAGAACGAGGGATGAGGCGGTGAGCGTGTAGGTTTAAATAAGACAGTGGAAAGACGCCAGCCACGCTGATCACACGGTATGTTTGCGTTTGCACTACGGTAACGATTCCGACCGCCGCCCCAGTGCACCTACAGCTGCCATGCTGGCGCGGGTTGCGAATGGTTTGTACACGAGCCATCGCCGCAGGGATTACAAGTGGTAGGAGGGCTGATTCGTACCGTGGCAGCCGTGATCCACACGCAAGAGGACACAACAGTGGAATGAGCTCGGTGCTGTTAGCTGAGCCTAAGGAGGGTAAGGGTACAGCCGCTCAGCTGTCCGAGGTGTCCTGATGTTGCAATTTGGACGCCGACGCGGCGCGCGCCGGTGAGAAAATGGATCTGTTTGGAGGGAGAGGCTACCGCGGCGCCAGGTATGCCAGGTCAGGTGCGGCCAGCACAGCCCGGAAAGCCCCGCCCCACCCCGCCCCCTCCACATCCCCCACCCCTCCGTGCCACCGAGACTCGGCGTGAGATAAGGCGGCCATTGCAAGCACAAGTGTTTAAATCCGACCTTGGTGTATCGTGCGGTATCTGTAGACGCGCCGTTATCGGGTATACTGCAGTATCGTATGAGCCATGCTGTCTGGCATGAGTCATGACAAAAGTAGCGGCAAAAGCAGCGTCCGTTGCATCTACCAGCTGTCTTGCCGTCGGCTTACCTATTTTTAAGAGCTTCTGCCGATAGTTTTTCGAGCGTTAGAGCATCGGCCGATACGCTTATTTTGGGCCACAATGTCGTTTAGAGCGTTAGTGTTAAGGAGGTTGTTCCACATTTGTATGGGGTTTCAGACTGAAATGGCCTAGAAAAAGCATATAAAAAGGCCAGAAAAAAGCCAGGCCGGGCCAGAAAAAAAGAGGATAATTCGGCGCACTTAAAAGCCCTGCCCTTCTTAAGAACTAACTCCTCTAGGTTCTGAGCAGCACACCGGACTCAAAATAGCCTGCACGAAATACTTTGAGTCCAGCGTGTTTTTATTAAAATAGTCTGTACGAGATAGTTTAAGGTCACTCAGGAATCCATGGGGTCATAATAACGTTACCCAAATCCTGTCACTCCATAAGCCATGCGGCGACCGAGTCCAAGAAAAATGTAATTGACAAGTGGCTCACATCTGGCGATCGTGAGCACGATTTCCAAATAGACTGGAAGTCAACTGGCTCTCAATCAATGTAGTGTAAGGTTCGACAACCGAACTTTGACTTATTGATAAGCATATTTACTAGATATAAAAGCATGTTGTCTAGAGTAGTCTTTTCCTGCTTAAAAGTATACCATTGGTTATAGGTGAGCTTATTTCGTGATATTTGATGCATGCTTCATTTTCTTCAAATGTGTAAGATTCCATTTAAGGAATGTTGACGTCCAACCGTTTGGTAAAATGAATGCTGTGCATTAGGCGGCACTTGTGAATTGGCGTCAAATGTCATCAAACGCTATTTCACGTTAGCACAATTTAGCGTTGAACTGCTGGGAAGACCTTATACAAGAAAATGGCAAATGTGAATACGTAATATAAACATGCCTCTAGACGCCTATTTTTCCCGAGAAACATGCGCATTCTTCCCAAAACATATGGCATTTCATGACGTCACACCATTGCAGGCCGTTCAGCACGTCATGAAAAATGTGTTTTCGCTGTGCTGGAGGTTGTGAGCCAACGAGACGCCCGCGTTGACAGCCGAGGTGGACCTGCAGCAGACGCCCGCCCTCTCTCCTGTGGATTCGTCCATGCTCGGTCACTTGTGCGCCATCTGCAACGACAAGGCCACCGGCAAGCACTACAACGCCATCTCGTGTGACGGCTGCAAGGGCTTCTTCCGCCGGTCGGTCAGGAAAAACCAGAAGTACACCTGCAGGTGGGTGCCGGGAGGAGCTCTGGCTCGCCCGCAGTTCCAGGGCGGGTCGTGCTCGCAGTTGCCGAAGTTTATCAAGATACCGAAATTTCCGGTGCCTGTTGTGTTTTATATTGATCATCTTTGTGCTGGATACTGCGGGGCATATGAGGAATACCAGGGACGCTGACCAGTGCCGATCGCACACTGCGCAATATGGTTGCGACCAACGTACGGAGAACATTTGGCGCTCGCTTGTGGAGCGTACGCCACAAGATAAGTGAACCATTCCAAACCTTCGCTTCCTTATCAGTTCTCCGCGTCTGGCGGTCGGTGCATGGATGCATTCTGTGCAATGACATTGCATGCAACTACCTTCACGGTTCTCCCGCAGGTACAGCCGGAATTGCATGGTGGACAAAGAGAAAAGAAACCACTGTCGCTATTGTCGACTGAAGAAATGCTTTCGGGCCGGTATGCGAAAAGAAGGTATGGCTTGATCCGGAAAACGTATTTGTGCGTGTGTGGGGGGGGGGGGGGGGCGTTTGATATCCAGATCAGCGGTCCTGGTTAGAAATGTGTTGGTGCGTGTGGGAGGGTATTCTATGTCCAGATCAGAGGCCTCGGTTAGAAACGTAATCGTGCGTGTGGAAGAGCGTTCTATACCCAGATCAGAGGCCTTGGTTGGAAACATATTCGTGCGTGTGGGAGGGCGTTCTGTATCCAGGTCAGCAGCCCTGGTTAGAAACCCGCCGGACGTTGATGCCTGTAGCCGCTAGCTCTTCACAAAGACGTGCACGACGCTCCCTGTGCTTGTTGTCTGGGTGGTGAGTGACACATTCCAGACTTGGTCGAATGGACCGCTCTGTTGCTCCGTCAGTCCCATGTCTAGAGCCAGGCCCTCCATACCGTCAGTCCCATGTCTGGAGCCGCGCCTTCCATCCTGTCAGTCCCATGTCTGGAGCCGGGCCTTTCATACCGTCAGTCCGATTTGTGGAGCCGGGTCCTACCTTCTATACCGTCAGTCCCATGTCTGGAGCCGGGCCTTCCATACCGTCAGTCCCATTTCTGGACCCGGGCCTTCCATACCGTCAGTCCCAAGTCTGGAGCCGGGCCTTCCATACCGTCATCCCATGCCTTCAGCCGGGCCTTCCATACCGTCATCCATGCCTTCAGCCGGGCCTTCTGTACTGTCAGTCCCATGTCTAGAGCCGGGCCCCCGACAACCGTCAGTCCCATGTCCAGATCCGGGCAATCCATACTGCCAGTCCCATGCCTGCAGCCGGGCATTCCATACCGTCAGTCCCATGTCTGGAGCCGGGCCCCCGACGCCGTCAGTCCCATGTCCAGATCCGGGCATTCCATACCGTCTGTTCCATGCCTGCAGCCGGGAATTCCATACCGTCAGTCCCATGGCTGCAGCCGGGCCCCCCATACCGCCAGCCCTATGTCTGGAGCCGGGCCTTTCGTGCCGTTCACGCTCCACACATTGGCAGTATCGGAGATCGGTCGCACCGCGTTCAGCAGCAGTGGGCTTGGCTGAATTCAAGGCGACGGTTCCAACGATATCTTATTTTTCATTCATTGCCCACATTGCTTTCTCACACCACTGCTCGCTGCGTCGTACATATATGTTTGTCCGATGCAGAACCCTTCCTGTCTCCCGGATGGGCCTCTGGTGGCAAAGAGGCATGTTTTTGTTTAGTTTTCGCTCGCCTCGGAGACAGCCCGCGACAGTACACAGCCGCGCTGCTGAGTCGTTGGAGCTGTCGATCAGTGAAGACAGGCGCTGAGTCAGTTCGCCGACTCGCGCAGTAAAACACCGCCAGCTCGGCAGAAACGGAACAATGCGCAGATGCTCACAGCCAGGCTGAGGTGTGCACGCTAAGTCGATGCTAAACGCTCGCCCAAACAGAAAATTGCGAATGTAAACATTGTGCCCGCGGAGCGTTTCATGTGTCGCTATCGCTGGCGAGCTGCCCACAAGCGGCGTCGTTACAGAGACCAGAACAATGTCAAACTTGACGTCATGCACTTAACGACTGGAAAATGCTAGACTTAGGCAGATGAGTGCATGCGCGGTCAGACCTGCTCCTTCGCAGCGTCACAGAACGTGAACTATGACATAACTTCACATGAGATAATTCTCCGACAAAAAGCGCACGACAGAAGCTATATCTAAAGCGCAGTGATACCCGCAGCCCTGTACATTGTTAGGGTCATTGAGCTCATCGGGTGAGAGCTTTTGTTCGCAGCTGGCCGTGGGTTCCAGAGCCACCCTGACTTATCTTGCAGCCGGATACAGATGGTCTGAACGGGACGAGCGCTGGTGATGCGCGCTTAAATGACGTCACACACCCACAGATAGGCGCCCCGATCGCTGCACCGCGCGGCATCGCGGATGCTCTCGCTTCGGTGTCAGACCACGACCGGGACCAGGGTGGCCGACCAGTCTGGGAGAGCCGGGGCCAGACTGGCCGACCAGTCTGGAGAGCCGGGGCCAGGCTGCCCGACCAGTCTGGGAGGGCCGGGGCAGACTGCCCGACCAGTCTGGGGGAGCCAGGATCAGACTGGCCGACCAGTCTGGGAGAGCCGGGGCCAGACTGGCCGACCAGTCTGGGAGAGCCGGGGCCAGACTGCCCGACCAGTCTGGGAGAACCGGGGCCAGACTGGCCGACCAGTTGGGGGAGCCAGGACCAGGACGGCCGGCGCAACGCCATTCATCACGAACACTGGCTTTTATGCCCAGGCCTCGGATGGTGCATGGGTAAAAGACCCAGTCCCGCTGCGCCACCGCACGCTCCTCCTCTGAGCCCAATCGTGTCCCACTTTGATCCAGTCTCACACCCTTCTGACCCGTCCCGCCGTCCCACAGCCGTGCAGAACGAGCGGGACCGAATCAGCGCCCGTCGGCCGAGTTTCGAAGACTCGTCTCATAGTGCGCTGTCCGTGCAAGTGCTGCTCAACGCTGAGCGTATGTCGCGCCAGATCGACCCCACGTGGGTGAGTTCGTCCATAATGAACACCCCAGCATGTCGCGCCAGATCGACCCCACGTGGGTGAGTTCGTCCATAATGACCACCCCGCATGTCACGCCAGATCGACCCCACGTGGGTGAGTTCGTCCATAATGACCACCCCGCATGTCGCGCCAGATCGACCCCACGCGGGTGAGTTCGTCCATAATGACCACCCCGCATGTCGCGCCAGATCGACCCCACGCGGCAGAGTTCGTCCATAATGACCACCCCGCATGTCGCGCCAGATCGACCCACGCGGGTGAGTTCGTCCATAATGACCACACCGCATGTCGCGCCAGATCGACCCACGCGGGTGAGTTCGTCCTCACTGACCGCCCCGTTGTAATGCAAATGACAAGGAATCTCGCTCGAGTAGCTCCAAGGGAGTCGACACCGAATCCAGTTTGCATCGCGTGTGGGTACAAATGAATCGACGTCTAGCTTGTTGGGCCCGTTGATGATTACCAACAGATTGGGGAGCAGCTGGACGGATCCCACCCACGGAAGTTCACAACCAATAAAACGAGCCTCAACGAATCTGCGAAAGCAGACTTGCAACCCAGCAAATCAAACAAAACCTGTTTTTGCTGCCTAACCACCTGCAAAAATTGTTCTGTAACTTGTCGCAAAGAATTCATACTAACACTTGCAAAGACTGCAGGTTTGTATGCACTTAAGATCAGTTGGACTCAGTCAGCTCGGTTCGGACATCAGACAAGCGCCCGTCTGGCGTGGTGCTTGTCTAATGGCGACCTTCTGCGCCGCCTACGGTCAAGCTGGACGGGGCGGCATCTAACCCTCGCCGACTGCTGCAGGCCGGCTGTCGGGAGACGGACATCAGCGACAAACAAATTGCCACGCACGCCGACGTCTGCGACTCAATGCGGCAGCAGCTGCTGATCCTGGTGGAGTGGGCCAAGTGCATCCCTGCCTTCCTGGAGCTGACGCTGGATGACCAGGTGAGGGGGACGTTCTCTCTCACTGAAATGTGAGGTCAAGTGAGGAGGATCTCACCGTCCTGTAGCTGGCGATGGATGGCCAGGTAAGGAAGAGCTTTGTTTTCTTGCAGCAGACACTGAATGGCCAGGTGATGAGGAGTTGAGTCTTGCTGGGCCTGACGTCTGTGTCAAGGCGATGAGGGCCCTCGAGTTAACGCTTGGTAACCAGGTGGGAAGGATCTCCGCCTCCCTGGAAACCATGCTAGATGACCGCGAGAATACGGCCCTGAACGAAGGTTTGAAGACCAGGTGAGAAGGATTTCCAGGACCCTGAAGCTCACAGTGGATGACCAGATAGGGAGAGTCTTAGCTTGCATGAGCCCGCGCCCGATGTTCGAGGAGTCAGAGGTCAGTCAGAGGTCAGAGGTCAGAGGTCGGAGGTCAGAGGTCAGAGGTCAGAGTCAGCCAGAGGGGTCCTCGCGTTCTTGGAGCTGGCGCTGGGTGACTCAGATTTCCTAGGGCTGAGGTTGGATGCCCAGTTTTTCTAATACTCCGCTTTCCTAACGGCCTCCTGGGGCTGCGGAAGATTCGTTTGCGGATGAATGGACTCTGTCAAGAAACTGCATTGTCAGGGCATTAGTGTAGGGCTCGGATTTGCAGTGGATTCGCTTCAATTTCCTTGAGGTGCGAGTTGGAAAACCTCGACCGACACCATGCATATATGCACAGGCACATAATGCTTCTTCATGGCATAAATTATTTCGTCTTTCAACTCATGCTTATCCCCTACCCTATTTAATCAGCGGTTCCTACCATGTTTGTGTGACAAACGTTCTGACGGACATCAACTCAGCTGATGAAGCTCGGTGCTGCTCTTGAAGCGGGTGCATCCCTCGAACGATAGCCCGCGACCTTGGCCGACGAGCGGCCCGACCCGGCGGCATCTGCCAGTCATCCCTTCCCGTGCGAATGCCGACCGAAGAAGGGCGGCGGGCCCGGCCGGCCGTCGACCGGCGCGGACGTCCGGTACGATACTCCAAGGCGGAGCGCCGGACTGAGGTCACTTCCTTCCACTTAATCGTCGACGGTGGGCCCCTCACCGGGCCGCAGCGCTGCGCTCGGGCCCGATGCGGGCGGTACTCGTGGCCCGACAGCCCCGTTCCTGGCGGGGCAGTCGGCCCCATTCCCGGCGGGGCAGTCTGCACGACCGCCCGCCCCGCGCGTGGATGCCGTCGAGTCGCCGCAGGTCTGTTTACTCGGGCCGGCTGTAAGGCCCGCGTGATTACCGCCACGCCCAGCGTGGGCAGACCGTGGTGTCGGCCGGTCACGTGAGTGCGTTCTGAGGCAGCAGCACGTGTCTGGGCGATGACGCGCCCTCCCCTCCCCCCCCCCCGCTGGTGTCGGTGTGACGCTGCAGGCGGACGGCACTCGGCGCTGATTCAGGCCAAGCAGACCCGCAGCGTCTGGCGCCGAGGCCGCAGATACTGAAGACGTCAGCGACACGTGCGCGGTGGGCTTCGTCAATCCTTAAAGGAAATGTTCCACGTGTAGATGTATTGAAGTAAGCATCAGATATGATGAAATAGCATCACTTATGACAACACGTCATTGCTTAATTGCGTCATCGTACATTGCACGACATTGAGTGAGAGCCAATTGAAGTCGTTTTATCTGGAAATCGTGCTCACGAACGCCAAATATGAACGCATCGACAATTGTTTTGCTGGCCTTGGTCGCAACATGGCCAATAGGATGGCACGATTTTAATGACGTTATTTTTGCGTCACGGATGCCTGGGTAACCTTGAAATACTCAGCATAAGAAGGGTGAAACAGTCATCAGCGTTTCTTATTAAGATTACTGGGAGTTTTTCAGTGAGTTACGCCGCATTTAAGCTTTTCACAAAAAGGCAGCTCACTTTAACTTAAAATGGGGAGTCATTCCCCGGGGAAAACAATTTTGAATCTACTAAATATCTTCTTTTTTGAGTCTAAAATCCAGAACGTAAATTCAAGTGCCGAAATCCGGGAGAAATAATGTTTTGGGAGTAGATTAGGTCAACCTTTTCTGCTCAGCCCCCCCCCTTCCAACCGATCTTTAAAAATGACATTTTTGGGTTTCGATCTTGAGAAGCGCTATGAACTGCACCAAATGGTGTTCACGATGGCTGTTTCAGTTCAAATCCCCATACACATGTGGAGCACTTCCTTTAATATTGTGCTAACTGAAGGGGATATTGATGCCGCGGAACGATGTTGCGGAAGGACGAGAGTTTGCGCAAGGATAGCTGTGCGATTTCGTTCGTTGCGGTTTCATTGCGCTGGCGGCATCAAAGACGAGTATCACATATCATCATTGGATAAGCTTGGCATGCTCCGTCTACGTGGACATGGCGGAGAAAGGTATAGAAGGGAGGGTTAGGGACGCCTTGATATAACTTCGCATGTCAGTCGTGTATTTCATGACAAAGGACATCGGCGTGGTATTTCCTCCTCTCATTCCAGACGACCTTGGAGCTTGACAGTCTGTCAGTGGTTTCCAATTTCCACTTCTGCTCTATGAAGTTTGCTGCAATATTCTGCTGGCCCGCATGTCTGGGATCGAAGATGACATAGACGCAAATCACTGACTTACCTGGGAAGGGTCGGTCTCATGCTTACAATGGATCCGTTGCGAGTGGAGACCCAATTCATAGCCCCAGTCAGCCCAGTCCCGTCCCACCCCGATCGAGCCTGACAGGTCGCACCAGGTACTGTGATCTTACGGTTAAGGTCTATGTTTGTCCAATCTAAATCATGCCTGTGAAACCGCGCGATCCCACCGTATGCCCCAGCAGACGCCAACGCCGAAACGAACGCATTGTCAGACCTTACGGCCTGACCTCCTGTCCCCCCCCCCGTGTATGCCACCAGACCGCCCATGACCCGCTGGTCTGCCCCCAGGCGGTCTGACCTGTCCCCCCCCCCGTGTATGCCACCAGACCGCCCATGACCCGCTGGTCTGCCCCCGGCGGCGTGACCCGGCCGTCAGTGAGGTGTCAGCGCTCGTGACCCAGTGGTTCGTTCTCGGGACAGATCGCGCTGCTGCGGGCTCCACGCTGGTGAGCACCTGTTACTGGGCGCCTCCTGGCGGTCCCTGCATCTCAGCGGCTGCGTCCTGCTCGGCAACAGGAGTGTCGTCACCCGAGGCTCTCAAGGTCAGCGGCGCCGGCGCCCGCGGCCAGACCCGCCGGTAGCGGCCGGAAAGACCGATACGGGGTTTGTCAGGCTTGTTCTCAAATGATCCGTGAGTTGTCATGGCGGCGGCTGCTCTTAAAGGCAGTTCTGGGCTGTGGGTGGCGCAGGTGTGTGAGTTGGCGTTAGATTAGATGGAGTTGGGAATAGAGTTGGCGATAGAGTTGGGAACTGATGTTCGGCACTCGGCATCCGTACCTCTTATCCTCTACCCTCGCTTCATCGTGCATCCTCGCGACACCCCGCTTGTCCGGGGCAGGCTGCAGGCGTCAGTCACGAGTGGGCTGAGAGCCCCGTGGGAAGGTGGACCTCGACTGGATCCAGCGCGCATGTGCGGGTTAAAGCACGGCGGTTGGCCCCCCAGGAGAATGCAAGTCTGCCCCGCCGTTAACCATTTTCCTTCATCCCATAACCCTGAAATGATTCTTTCTGGTCGGAAGGGCTCTAATCCAAAAAACCGACCTCGGTCCCCGAGGCATCCATGCATGTGGTAATGTTTTTTGGCGGATCTTGTAGTTGAGATAGGTAAGAAATCCGTGCATATGATCGTATATGCGTGTCTGTGGATGCTGTTTCATTGAGTGGCAAATTTTGGATGCGTAGGTGGGTACAATGTGTGTGATGGGCAAAAGTATTGAACCCATTAAAATTTAAGATATTTGTGTTTACTCACTGTAATCAATGATGATGCGGTGAGGTTTTGAGTTGTACCTTCAGCATTGTTGGGTTCTTACCATCACATGAAGTTTCTGTCATCATCCTTATTTTTAGTCCCAAACAGTAAATGACCTTCCTTTTAGAACAAGAGAGTCGTATATTAAAACAAAATAAGCACACCATTACGCCTACCAGGATGTCGCATGCGTTACAAATGTAAACGGCGGGAACTGACCTTTCTAACCTATGCCAGTCTTAGCCTGTCCTGTAGAGAGGCCTAAGCGTTCTTCGATATGAGGGCGAGGTCATAGGACACCGTAGACAGCTTACCAAAATCATGCTGTTAAGCCACTGAGAATGCGTTCAACACTGAGAATACGCTCACCACTAACTCCTAGGAAGTAATAAACGATCACGAATCCGTGATATGCTTGCACCATCCTTACTCTGTGCTTTTTTAAAAAGAGCGTCAAGAAGTGTTAGGTTAGAAATGGTGATCTGCTGGCTCACAAATCGGTCCATGATTATAATTATCTAACGGGCCAGTTTCGAGCCACTTTTTAAACAGGCGCGCGCGTAGAACTGGCTCGGTTTGGGATTTGTCAAGAAAACTGCGGGGCGCCAAGACGGTGCTCGACTCTTGGAGGACCGCCCACCGAGCGTTGGCCGTGGCGGCGCCGCACGAGCCGCCAGACCGCGCAGCTGACGCGCCTGGGCTCGGCGGCACGGTCAAATGTACAGCACTGGGGCATCGGAATGTGAACGTCGGTTATTACGAGACATCCTACGTAATAATGCATTATATATATATATATATATATATATATATATATATATATATATATAATATATATATGTGTATATGTATAATATATATATATAGATATATATAATATGTATATATGTGGTATATATATAATGTATATATGATATATTATATATATATAATATATATATATATATATATATGTGCATATATATATATATATGTGTGTATATGTGGTATATATATATATATATATATATATATATATATATATATTAATATGTAGGTGTTTGATTATGTTTTAGGGTTACTCAGGCCTGTCCAATTTGAAGTATGTATATCCCGCAATCAGAATTCTAGCTAATGACAACAGTTTTATAATCCTCGACAAATTTGCGCGAGAGGAACTTTTGGGAAGTGGTAATTAGGGCAAGAACACCAAAATGTTAACCTGGACGCCACTCATTATAACGTGCTCGTGCTATGTACCCAACGCTAGGCAAAAACTTAGGAAAAATCAACACGTTTTGAACTACCGCATCCACTGAAATGGTGCACCCAAAGGCAGATGCGCGATGTCTTATCGAAGTGGATAAGCATTAAGGACGAGATGGTACACGGAAAAAAAAATGTAGTCGAGCAGTGAAGGAGCAGACAAGTGTATGAAAAAACTGTGTCGTGTGTGGACACATCTGTCAATGACATGTTTTGGTAAAAAAGACCTAAATTTCGCGTACGGATGACGAAACAATTGCGTGTCAAACAAGCAGCGTGATATATCGTATTCATCGCAATAAGTGGCAAAGTTGTATGCTATGTCCGGAACAGGGGGCTTTACATGCCCGCTCAATAACCATTTGTCGTCTAATTCCTTGAGTCAATCGGTGAACGATGTGAAATTTGCTTGACTTAGGGGATGTCGGTGAGCAGAGTTGTTGCTACATGTGAGGCTCAGAAAGAAAATGTTGATTGCATGAAAATCGCACTTTGGAGGCGTCCGAGATAAAAGCCAAATCTAGTGCGCATAAGGCGTTCAAATGCCTTTATAAGCATATATACATGTGAGTGTCCTGCCGCTCTACCACACTCTCTGCGGGCCTCCAGACAGTGTCAAGTGTACTCCAGGGTCGAACGTATTCCACATGGGCGGATGATCTAAGTAGATTTGCATCGATTGTTCCACGCAATGCCTACGCACTCGGCTAAGATTAGCACGTGACACCCACCGGTGGTGAGTCACTGGTCTGCCCCCCCCCCCCCCCCACCGCTGGCCTATTCTCCACATGCTCAGCTGGCTAGTGTTTGTGAAGTGGAAGCTGGAGGCCGTGACAGTGTGTATCACTCTTGTATGTACTGAGGCTTGCTAGGCAAACACTCGCGCTGCTACAAACAGGTCACCACAGGACACCGTTGCCATGGTGACCCCTCCAGTGGTACGGGGTCGATCAACAGCTGTTTGAAATCTATCTAGATTGATGACTTCTAGTCGGGGGATAAAGTTCTGTCAACGGTAGCATACTTCCGCAGTCATGGATTTCAACAGTCCAGAGTTGGCCATGGGTCTAGCCTCGCCTGGTGCGCTGCTAGCCCAGATCCGAAGAACTAAATTTGCTGTCGCGCGTTTTCTGAACACGCGGTGGTGCTGTCGCTATGGCAACTGCCCGTCGATGTGAGAACGCGGGGGTCTGAGGCAGGCAGGGGAGGTGGTGATGGGGGGCTGGGGGGGGGGGGGCTGAAGTCCCGGGGTGCCAGAACGGCAGTTAGTCACCCTGACAGATAGCTGGGCTGGTCGGCCTGGTAACACGCACGGGTCGCCGCCTCTTGCAGTGCCCGGTCACCTCACGTCACGGTCCGGGCGCGTGGTCGTGGCTGAGGTCCGATTGCTAGGCCAGCGTGTTTAATGGCTGTCAGCTTTTCTAATCAGGGCTACTCACGCGCTGCGCTGGATACACTGGACCTAGATGTCTGGACATGACATTGTACAAATTTGCTCGGGGCGGTTGTGTTAACAATTTTAAAGATATACGACGTGTGGCAAGTAAGTGGAGCTGTGCCCCCTTTTGAAACCCGCTAACCATTTGTGCTACTCTAGATATGCTTGCTTTAGATCCGAATTAATACCCAGATAGCATCGCGGGTTCACTTTGTCTTTTCAATGTGTTGCAATGAAAATGTTGCTTTGAGGTCTCTTATTCACTGACCAACACGCCACATACTGTGAGGGTTGGGGCCAACAGCACACATTCTGCAGCACTTAATAAAGGCCATGATGTACAGCATGTAAAAACATATCAATGTTGAACCGTAACAGTCAGAAACGCTTCAATTTTTCAATGCATTGGTTCATACTAATTTCAACAGTTGCGTGTTCATCTATACCTGCGGATGTTTGCATCCAGTCCAACAATATCATCGCAATAGGTACGCTGACCTGGGCTAGACTGCAGAGGCCACCATCGAAATCAAAGTGCTTGTTCGGGTCAATTCACGTGCAAAGTGGTATGTCACTAGCGTCAGACGGTCAATACTAATGATGTGTTGAATTGCTGCTGTTTTAAAAAATAATTGAGCCAAATTACAGTTCACCTGTTCACTGCTGGAAAATATGTGATTCCCAACTATCAAGACAAGAGGCCGAAGCGTCATAAGTTGTTTGCGAAAACCACAAACTGCCTACGAGTTAACCTGATGCTCCTAGAACCCCTGAATCATTGCACAAGCCCAAGAAGAATTTGGCATGATATGAAGGCACACTGGAAACACTTAGGGAATGAAGACCCGAGAAATGCGATCAAACATTGCATGTCATGGTACCGGCATGGCATCGCTTTGGACGGATTGGCGCTCAATCTCCGCTGGACACTGGAGCAACCAAGTGGCGGTCAAGGAGCCAGGTCGTAAAATTGGTGTTAAGACAACATTATTGCTTTTTCTTATATTCCACCGACTGACACAAATTTGTCGGCTTGACAAAAAAAACACGGTTCGAAGCTTTCTGGGATGGAAACGACCTTGCTGATAGTCGACGGCACGCAGCTGTTTTCAGAGTCCACTGAATTGTTATCTCTTCATTCATCAGCTCCTGTAGCTCCGTAGAAACAATAAAAACAAAATTGTGCGCATCGCTGGCTACGCAATTCAAACAGGTGCAATGTCCATTGAGAGAACGAATAGATAAAGAAAAAATTAGCAATTTAAAGCACGAGAGAGGCATCCAGACATATACACACACACACACACACACAGACCACACACAACAAACACACCACACACACACAACACAACACCACACACACACACACCACACACACAACACACACACACAACACACACACACCACACACCAACACACCACACACACACACACACCCACACAACACACACACACACACACACACACACACACACACACACACAACCACACACACGCACGCACGCACGCACGCACGCACGCACGCACCCGCACGCAGCACGCAGCACGCACGCACGC